ACTATCAATTTCCATATTATAATTAATTTCTCATTTAGCCGGCGCGCCGCATTAATTATATGTCCCCGGTCGCCGCTCAAGCTATTCATACATATCTAATTAACTCGACCTCGTGCGGAACTTATAAAGTTCACCCGCGTGAGCTTTCACCTGCGGCCAGTCGTCGACACGTAGGGACCCATAACTCGTCTGATATCGCTTTCATCCCGGCTAATTATTTTATGAAGCCCGGCGAAGAACTTTAAGATCTCTTCAAGTCGGAAGAGCTCAGCGGCCGGTTAAATAATCGTCTCACACGCGAGCGCGCGACAAGGAGGGAAGAAAACAGGCGCTGGGAGGCCAGTATTTGCCGCGATAACAAGTGAACGCACTTTGAATCCGAATTAAGCGGCTAAGACTTGACTCACGTTTCCGAATTTCCGTCGAATCCCAACGCGGCGACGTGCTCGTTCCGGTCATTATATCTCTCTATCGAAAAAAACGACGAATACTGCCGAATCAGAAAGAACGGAGAAGCGCGTTGCGCCTTTTTTTGCCATTAAATTAATTCATCACGGTACCAAATTATCCCTTATAGTGTAAGTATTACACAAAACACGGCCCGGAAATAAAACACACCGCTCTTTTCATCCGGTCAAAAACACGCTCGAAGGCATAAAACGTAAAATGGAAACCGAGCCGGATAACGAGACAGGATATGAAAGAGAGGTCGCGGCCGATAACATCAATAATAAAAAAAAAAAAGCAGCGGCGGCGCACCGTAAAAATTCATGCGACTCAAAGCGAATTGATATAGCCCGCGCGTGCTAGCGCGGTCGCGCTGCATAAAACGAGAGACGGAAAGTTATCCCCTTGGGGAGAGAGGAGAGGCTGGATGTCGCGTCCGCACACGATCACACGATCGTCAAACTTCTCGGTAGACTCCGCGAGAGAGTGAAGCATAGAAATTTAAAGCGACCGGGGTCGTGCGATCTTCACAACTTTCGCCGTCGATTTTCGCTGCGGGCCGGCTAGTAATTGCGATCTCGATATGTTTCAAGGAACTTTGTCCTCGAAGTTGCCGTGGATCGGCTCTCTCTCTCTCTCTCTCTCATACACACACACATACACTTTCCCTCGCATTTTCATTCGCCAGCTTTTCAAACGTTAATCTTGATATCCGTGTTGCCGGAGAAAGCAACGCAAATAAATTCGCGAAAGAGTTCTCGCGCGTTTTCGCGCGCCTACGTGAACGTGCGCGTGCGCGCGCGCGGCAATTTGCACGAGTAGTTTGCTCTCGCCACTTCGCCATCGCAGGCATTCTCTTTCTCTCCCTCTCTCCCTCCCTTTCTGCCTCGACATCGGCCGGTTTGCACAACACAACACCGGCAAAAGCGAGCATCCTCGCGTCGGGGCACGTTCCCTCGGTCATTTTAACAAATTGTTTCTCCTGGCACACTCCGCCACGGAGTATACACGCGCGCGTATGTATATGTGTGCAAAAGAGAAAGAGAGAGAGAGAGAGGACGCGCGGAAGAGACGCGGGAGCATTACGTTCTCGTGTACCGCACCGGATGAATCGGAAGTGTGCGCATTCGCGTTTCCCAACGGACCGGAGGTGTTTGAATTTCTCCACGATCGGCTTGTCGCACGATTTTATGGATTCACGTGTGCGCGCTCGAATATTAGACCGTCGCGTTTTTCCGACGAAGCACTCGTACCCGCGCGCGCGCTGAAAGCCTGTTTACACATGCAGTTAAGCCGAGTTTTGGGCCAATAACTAGACTAGCCGGTAGCCTCGCGCGTTTGTCAATATCTATTGCACTCCACCATCGTAGAGAGAAAGAGATAAAGAGAGGGAGAGGGAGAAAGAGACTGAAAATTGTGCTCGCGCGTATTGCACCGAGCACATGTGTCTAGTAATTGGTTTGCAACGCATAGGCGAATGCGAAAACATAGCGAGTTATCTGGCTGTAATTTTTTACTTCCCCTTCTCTTTTCCAGACAAATTCCATGTATATCAAATATACTCCTATCGAATTACGTGAGGAAAAAGTAGCGAATTTCTTTCTATTGTTTCCAGGGATATACGTGTATGCGTACTCACTCGGGTGGTCAGGTTCGTCGCTGTTTGCATCCTCGTCGAAGGAAGTGGTCCCTTTCGACTGTGCACTGGCGAGCGTCGATGCCTCGATACAAGTCACCACTATCAATATCCGCAGCATACTGGCGAACGTCTCTTCACCCTCGAATTTCACCCTCGCACCATCCTAACGTAGCTCGCGTCTCGTGCGACTCTCAGGCGACGCCCTGTCAACAAGCGAAATGAATTTTCATTAATGAGAGAGAGGAAGAGAGAGAGAAACAAAAAAGGAAAAAGAAAGAGAGAGCGGAACAAGATAAAATTATAACTGCATAAATCGCTTATGTATATTGTGCAACAAAAATATTTTCGATCCATCTGTCTATCTCGTAAATCTCCTGACATATTTAGACGTTGCCTGATAACACCGAGAGAAGAAATATCTAAAGAATAAATATTTGATAGGTACTAATGACATGTTACTTGTACTAATACACATGTCCTTACATTGAAAAAAAAAATTTTTTTTTCAATGAGAAAACTTGTAATTCGAGTGTTACTTCTGCGCGACGTAAAACTTTGGACCTCTCTAATCTCGCGAAAAAGAGAAAAAAGAAATGCGACTCGGGTCATTGTTTCGTTGACAGTTGAAATAAGCAAAATGTAGATGGACTTCGTAAAATTTCGCAAGGGCAACGGAACTCGGCGTATTCGGACAGACGCTTTGTTCGCGTCGCGTTTTCAATGAAATTTCACGCGGCGATATCATCGGCACATGCAGCTGGCATTTAACAGCCACGTTTGATAACGCGTGACGCGTTTATTGTTAATTGCACCGCCGCTTTCGGCGCGCGCGCCAGCCGCAATATTGGATTAATAACGATCGACGGTTGATCAGCGTAGAATGATAGAGCCGGGCCAAGGTCGATTGATCATTCCATCCAAACAACGAATGCGGCGTGCATAAAAAACGCATGACTTGATGCCGGTTTTTCTGTCCTATCTCTGGACGTTTACAATGGACGGGAGATTCCCCGACGGGCTGTGAGGCTGCCGCACGATTCGATAAATCCTTTCTCCCCGACTCTCTCTACTCCGATTCCTCCGACTAATAAAATCCTCTCGAGCAGACCAACCAAAACTCCAACTCTAACTGACGAGTTTATTTTGAGAGAGGCATACGATGTCAGAGTACTGACGGCCCAAGAGAAGAAAATAAAGCGAAGTATCCCTGCCAAAGAAGATGAGGAAAACAACAACAAATATCCGCCAAATTTAATATTCTTCTTCGGGACGTGTTTGCAGCGGATTCCGAGTGATCTCGGGGTAACCTGAAAGAGTCGAGAGAATTCGTTTAACCGCGAAGTCGTGTGCCCGGCTTCCCCGTGTTTGCGCAGCGCAGCGGAGCGTTTTGCAATTTTTCGGACTTGGAAATTGCGGCGATAGTCTCGGAAGCTTAGGCGTCCTATTCTATCGCGCGCATTATTCTTCTCGACACTCCGATCAGCGGCGAGATACGCGAAAGCGCGGAACAACGACGGGGTTTTCGCGAGGATTCGCGCGGATGAAGAACGAGGAGCCGCGACGCGAGCGTCGGTGGGCGCGTTATTGATCGCGGCATATCGACCGATTATAACGGAAAATTGTCCGTGCGGCTCATTTTTCCCGGCGATAGATTTCGCGCGTCGCCGAACGCGAAGTTCGCGAAGTTCGCGAATACAAAAGTAATGATACCACGCGCGCGCGGCAAGAAAAATGCCCGAGTTTGCCGGGGCGCCGCGCGTCGTGGAACTCGTGGGAAATCTAGGAAACGCAGCAGATGAGCGGTATCCTTTGTGCAAGGACAATGCAGCTCATTCGTGCGGGGCCTTGTAAACTCAGTAGACTGGTTTATCCAGGCAACGTTCTCGCCGCTCTGATTACCACGTCGCTCTTATTCGACAGCCATTAGCTACTCGTAAATCATTCCGCGCCGCGTGGATAAATCGAACGTGCAAATGCGACAGCGTGTTGACGGCGAGCCGCGCGAATATACTCTGACTGAGCGAAGGAAATCGCGCAAAAAAAAAATCATACAAACTATTGTGCACTCTTGATGTTGCAAATGATTATGCTGTTACATATTTTTACTAATTTCTTACACTTTTCTCATCATGGTTATTTTTTAGTAAATCGGGTCCGCTGAATACGAATCTAACTTCAGAAACTGTTCATCACATTAGGTTTTCGATAAAAATAGGAGTTTAAATCCCAAAAACGTGTTTTTATTTTTATGAAATGGTAACGCATAAGTCAGACGTGTTAACAACTTCAAGCAGATCTAAAAGTGAAACTTCAATCTTTATCTTTATTTTAATAAGTTGGAAACTTAAAGTGCAACTTTGTAGAAGTCATTCTCGTAGGGTAATGAAGTAGTGTCATAAAACACAACATGAACTAAATAAAACAAAAATAGCTAAATTATTACTCACACTTAACAAATTTCTGAGTAAATTTCTGACACCTAAAAATGAAAAATAAATAAATAATTAAGAATATAAACAGAAAATTTTTGGATTCTATCTTATATCGTGCGTGCTGTAAACATTTTTAAAAAATCAGGTACGATTGATGAAGTCGATATGATTTCGAAAATTCACCCCTGATCTTTATTCTTCATTTCAATGAATAATGCATTATATAACTTACTTAACTGCAGACAGAGTAAGTGTGATAAGTGTGATAAGTGATATGGAAGATTAAATGGTTCTCAAAAGTCTTTATCGGTCTTTCAAGTTAGATGGAATTTGCAGGATGAATATAGAAACAAAATTTCGACCCGGATATACACATCGTTTACCAGTACGAGGAATTGCAACCAGGATACACGAGCGGGGATTCGTTACGGTCTACGTCTCTTTATAAGAGGTAATTCTATGGAAAAGCGGATATATAAGAGACACATTATGTGCCTCTCTTTAATATATAAGTATATAAGATAGCATAATGTGTCTTTCGCGCGGCTTCAACTTTAAGGATAAGGGATAATGCTGCAGATTAGCGAGGCGTTTTATTTATATGTATGTACTGTGGGAGAAAGAATCGCTGGAGAAGGAATCGCAAAATGTGCACGAGGAAAAAAGCTTTATTGGATTAATCAAGTGTTTGGTGAAGTATGAACGAACATTTAAAATTACCGAAATTCTGTTTTCAAGTTAACAAGATCCTGATAAACTAAAGAAGATTTTTTAACCAAAACTTGCAACTGTTCCAGCTGAAACAAGGTTTCTGGTTAGTTAGAGCGAAATTCTGATAGTTTCAACCAGAATTCCGGTTTGTTTTCATCAGATTTAGTTAATTCAATAAAATTCCTTTTTTTGTGTGTTATTAGTTAAAACTAGCATTCTTCCCATTGTCCTTTCGTATTTTTTAAAATTCCTTTGTTTTTCTTTTTTTGCATTTTATATTATTTTTTCTGTGTACTAAAAAGACAAGTTCTAATTTAAATAAATAAATAAAATAAAATTTTTTATATTATATCAACCTTATAAACCTTATAATATCTTGGCAATTTCCGGTTATCTCAATATTGTAAAAATTAATAAAAGATGACTCAAGAAGACCCGTAAATCCTCGTTCCTCGAGTCTTTTCTCTTCGTAACTCGCAGGTCTGTGAAAAATCGCAAAGGTTAATAACGAAGCGATTAATTGCGTTTCCACGAGAATCGAATTATTGCAAATTGACCGGATAGGGATGGCAGCATGGACGAGATGAAAAAAACGCAAAATTGAATCTTATACGCTTGGTTTAGTCGAAGAGCTGTCGATCGTCAGATTTAATCGAAGATATTCCTCTTCGACTCGCTCTCACCGATCCTTATCCACTTCATCTCATTTTTTGCTCCCCTCGTCGTCTAAGGGTGGATCGTGCTGGCGCTTCCGGTCATTCCCGACGAGTTGTAAAGCGACCGGCAACCTTCCTCTCGAGGGTGAAACGCGAATCGATGTTTTAGCGAGCGAGCGAGCGAACGAACGAATGAGTCTTGTGAGCGAGTGACGTCATCGCAAGGAGAATACGAGAGAGATAATACAGACTGAAGTCGTGTTACATCTAACGAGGGATGCTGGAGATAAGAGGGAACGAGATCTGCATCCCTCGCGGCTGGATTTTCGGTTACGACGGTTAGTTAAGTAGTCCGATAAGATTTTAGTGTAGTCGCTCTCTCCAACGACAGACAGTGAAATAATTGATCGCGATCGTATCGATAGCAGCGCAGCGAATTCGTATGTATTATTTTTCCTTGGTCTTAGATGGAGAAGTTCCTCATTATCCTCTCGACGAGAATATATCGACGAGAGGAAGATCCTTTTCTCTTCACCTCGTATTTTCCTGAAACATTTCTCTTATATTTCGCGGACAATCAAACCACGGGGAATTTTCCGTATCTTTCTAATGGCGAAAGATCGTCGCCGATAATAAAATATACATAGCTTCTCGCGATGCAATCAACGACGCGATTATTTCTATCGATAATTTCATCGGTTAACGAAACATTCTCTCTCTCTCTCCCCCTCCCTCTCTCCCTCTCCCTCTCTCTCTCTCTCAAGTCTCGCTTGTCTCGCAAAATTTCAATGCGGTATTTTTAATGCGCCAGCTTATTTCGTTCTTCGAAATACCATTGATGAAACAAGATTTGATGCGCGCCTGAGGTAATAATTGAAATTCCTTTCATCTCGATCCGACCTCGGGATGCTTTATCTCTCGTATTTTTGCGCCTCCAGCAAAACGAACTTCCTGTTTCCGGCCGAGGGGACGAAAAATGCGACAGCGAGCATTGCCATCCAAAGTAAATGTATGAATCAATGGCTCGAAGGGCGTGTCCATTTCTCGCCCCGATAGTTTCCACGAGAGCAATTGCGCAACAAACGACCGAGATCCTTGCAATCCTTTCCGCGACTCTCACTCGCTCCCGCGATGTTGTCTTTCGAAATGAAAAATCGAAAACTTGCACAGAGTATCGAATTAAAATGACGACGTAACTCCATCGTTTTCGTTATTCTCTCACTGCGACCATAAACCCTACTAGAAAATTATCCCATGGTCCTCCTCATCAGGTTGATCCTAGTCAGTTATCTTTCTTTTTTTTTATATTTGGTGGCGTCTCTACCATCATGTCTACTATCGTTAAATAATTACAATAATCTTGTAGTATGAACAGTCAAACACGTGCGTAGTATTTTAAAATAA